ATTAATTACTCACCCTCATGTTGTTCCAAACCCGTAAGACCTTCGTTCATCTTCGGATCACAAATTAAGATATTTTTGATGAAATGTAAGAGCTCTCAGACCCTGCATAGACAGCAACGCAACTTTAATGTTCCCAGGTCCAGAAACGTAGTAAGGACATTGGTAAAACAGTCCATGTGACATCAATGGCTAAACTTCAGTTTTGCGAAGCTTCGAGAATACATTTTTTGAGCGCAAAGAAAACAAAAATAACAATTTATTTAACAATTCTTCTCCCCCGAGTTACGTCTTCCAGCATTTTGGAGAGTACCCAAGAGCGTAATCTACGTAATCAGCGTTGTTTACGTTCGGGGGGAGAAAGCGCGCGCATGAACGTAATCTGCGTAATCAGCGTTGATTTTTAAAGGCTGTCCAAAACAATTATTGAGTATATTGTAGTGAAATATTTAAAGGGATCGTTCACCCAAAAATGAAAATTCTGTCAATAATTACTATCATCACCTTAAGACCTTCGTTCATCTTCGGAACACAAACCCTGCATAGATATCAAAGGAGCTACCACATTCAAGGCCCAGAAAGGTAGTAAGGACATTGTTAAAATATTCCATGTGACATCAGTGTTTCAACCATAATTTTATGAAGCTACGAGAATACTTTTTGTGTGAAAAAAAACCGAACTAAAATAATGTCTTTTTTCAACAGTTTCTTCTCTGATGACACATGGATTATTTTAAAGATGTCCTTACTACCTTTCCAGGCCTTGAACGTGTCAGTTGCGTTGCTGTCTATACAGGGTCAGAAAGCTCTCGGATTTCATCAAAATTATCTTAATTTGTGTTCCAAGATGAACGGGTGTTCCAAGTTGAACGGGTCCAAGGTCTTACGGGTTTGGAACGACATGAGAGTGAGTAATTAATGACAGAATTTTCATTTTTGGGTGAACTAACACTTAAAGCACCAAATCAGCACATGATTTTTGAAGTTTCACGTGACCCTGAATACTGAATAATGGCCGCAGGAATAAACTACATTTTAAAATCGAAAGAGAAAATTTTACATTGTAATAATATTTCACAATATCACTATTTTGACTGCATTTTGATCAAATAAATGCAGCCTTGGTAAGCCTAAGAGTATAAACATTAAAAAAAACATTACAGACCTCAAACTTTTGAACAGTAGTGTTCATTACCTTCAGCTCATAGCACACGCGTCCCTTATTTACACCATATGTTGCTCGTGCTCCAGACCATAGGTAAGCAAACCCCTCGATGGTTAAAGGATAGCCGCTGCAACGGTCTCGAGAGACTTTGAAGTGCAAGTCGCAGTTATCTGTTGAGGTTTACAGAGAGAATTCCATTATTATGACTATTATAGAGACATCATAAATCATAATTACACAAAACAAGCCCTCACATACAAGTATCAATGACCACTAGTGTGCCATCAAAGTCTTCCTCATCCTCTTCAGCAGGAGGCAGAGTTGAGTGGGACCTGTGATTAAGAAAATTACAATGTAAATGTAATAGCACTTGTTAGTGTGCATTAAGTCAAAATCCTAATGCCGATATAGGATTAAAACAAAAGCATTGGGGTAAATTCACCTCCTGTCTTCACGGTGTTCATAATAGCTGTAACCGTGGATTTCATCATAGTGCCTCTTGTGGCCATAATGTGCATGTGCGTCTTGTTCAGTCTTGCTTTCTGCATTCTGTTGGCTCTCTTGATCTTCCCATTCACAGCCGGGGTCAGAACACTGCAGTTCTTGTTGCTCCGTCTTTATCTCATCCTCATTTTTCACCTTTACTGGTGCCACTTCATGTTCTGTGAAACAATAACAGGGCTCTAGACAAAAAAAAATCAATTAAGGAGCCATTGGCTCCTATAAGAAACAAAATTAGACACCAAATCATTTTTTAAGTGCCACAGAATAAACACGTTGTATTTATTTGAACACATCAACATTTTAGTCATACTGTCATGTGTTTATGTCTCATCTTTTCTTGTCTTTATCAGCATTTTAATCCATCTTGTAGATGTCCTGGGAACTAAACATCTTTTCCAACTTGAGATCTACAGTCTCAAAGAATTGTTTATTACACAGAATCTGTGCCAATATCGCAGACCATAATTATTTCAGCATCACGTGGCCATTGGGTGTAGTTTGGGCTCCTCCTCAATGCATCCTATAAATGTTGTCATACATCTTGCACACGTCCAGTCTTGTTTTTCTTCATTAGTAACATGCAATTATATAAGAGGTGTTGAATTTTACCTTTAGCTCCTTGCATTCTTTCTTATCATACAGACAACAGGTTAAGTAAAAATATGAATATGCGATATAGTACATATATTTAGCAAAATGCTCCTCTTTATAGTTATTTTTTTTCTAGCTGATTGATGAGCTTATAGATGCCGAATGGTTATTCTGAGGTAAATGTATTGTTGCGTGGCATTGTTTACAATCTTTACACATTTTCCGCAGTTTGAAACACTGCATGAGCGATTACATGAGACATTTCAGTAAATTGTACTGTATCTTATAATTTACCTTTTGATGTCCATTCATGTTTATTTCGTACTATAGTAGTAAAGAGAAAGATATGATGGGTTCACATGCCGCTTGAACTGAGGTGCTAAAGCGATCGCTCATGCCACATTAAAGAGTGACGAAACAGTATTCATTGTTTGCATTTCGTTATGAATTTGGCAGAGTTTTAAAGCTGATACTTTGTGTATTAAAAGGTAACAGGGCACAAAGCTTATTGCGATTACTGGACGGCGAGTGTGCTACAAATAATATGAAGTTATCTTATCGCATTGACAGAACACAACATATAAAGATCTTGAAAACAAGAATCCATATTAGTAACTTATCGATTATAAACGAGAATTGTCAACGATATTGCTAATGTCCAGACAGCTGACTGCTTTACCTGTTGTAGTTTGTTCAAGCTGTGCACGAAACAGACACTGCTTTTCTGCACTTTTACTTCGCACACCTCCGTTATTTTCAATTTCTCTCATGCTGCCACAACTGGAGCTGCTTTTAGCAGATGTTCGGCAGTGATGAGGACTGTTTTTCCACAACATAAAAGATGTGACCACAAAACAAGCAGGAAAAAAACTTTACATTACGTGCAAATTTTTAAATCATAACATGTGAATTTATATAGTCGCCAGTGACGATCTAAGCAAATATATCACTCGCAAATTTATATTTTTGGTTGCGAATGCGACAGGTGCAGTCTGGAGCCCTGAATAAAAATTCAATATAAAGCAGAGGTTCTCAACCAAGGGGCCTCAGCAAGCTATGCCTCAGCAAACATCCAAAGGGGCCTCAAGATGAATTAAAATGATTTAAAACAAGACAAAACAAGCATTAGAATATAATACACCAAAACTAATAAAATTAGTAAAACACAAAAGATTGGAGTTGTACTGCTGTGTTACAGTGGAAAAACTGAATTTTAACCACTGATTCTTTGCAGCCTCATCTTTCGGAAGTGAAAATAAAACGAATTTACTTTCATCTCAACTTGAAGTTAACCACACAAACAAGCTACAGTGTTTGTGGCCGGGTCAAGTTGTTTGCGGCCGGCTAATGTAAAACATAGGTGGGCATTATGCAAATGTGTTGTGACTGTAGCAGTCACAGAAGTGGGATGCGAATTACTGACAACTCGTTTAGACTGTTCAGAGTCTATTCTTTCTTTTGGGAGAAAATAACTTTTTATCGTGTAGTGGTAGACTGATATAATGCCAAGGCTGATATTTAGCATTTTTTTAATTATTGACATCAGCCTTTTAAGTTTTTCTGTCTAGTCAATAAATGTCGGAAACGGGATTTTCATTTTTACAGCGCCGTGAACGTGCAAACTGGATGCAGACAGGAGAGTTCTGCTGTCACTCAATACGCATCAATGACAAACTTTAAATCCTTGATTTCTATGCTGCGTTGTATCCAGTTGGCCGCTATGTAATATTCACCGTGTAATTTATGTAAAATTAGCATTACCTGGTCTTAATTTGAGGAAATAACAAATTTGAGATTTACAAGATTACTGAGTGTACTGTCGCTTACTGTTTATTTCCTTTTATTCATGTTTTTAAATGTGTCTATTTGGGAAAAATAAGAAAATAATGTGAAAATAACAAGCTATATTTTTCATATTGAATCATTTAAAAATTATTTATTTCTAATTTAGTAAACATTATGTAAAATAAACATAAATTTCTCTGCAGCATGTTATTTGCCACCTTTAAATTGAGTTCACACACACACACACACACACACACACACACACACACACACACACACACACACACA